ATTTGTGTAAAGGCTGCATATAAATAAGAGTCAAGTGTAGAAGTGTGATTTTCATTTATGCGTTGTAGAATGCAGACTTGGTCTAATATGGAATGGATAACTCTGAAGCCTCAATCATTCTTCTGCCAGAAAGCATTCAGAACTAAAGAATGTATAATTTAGATATTTAGTGTAAACCTTGCTGATTAAATTCATGAGTATGATGTGACAATAATTAGCAGCTGTATCTCTTTTAATTTCATTATCTAAAGAAATTATTAATGTATGCCCCAGTCCCAGGAGTGTAAATTATTTAAAGAGAAAAGAAGGCTAGTACTGGGCTGTACCATTTTAGCGTACAAGTAGCTTTAGCTGTAACAAAATCAGTTTGAAGGTTTGTCAAATTTGAACAATTTGACCTGAGCTGGTCCCCCATTCTCTTGGAATATTTTCTTGTACATTTTACTCTTGTACCTTTTACTATATTCATATCCATAAAGTGGAAATTGAGAATCAAAAATATATGTGTATTTTCCATATGTTTATAAAAGATGATTGGACATATTTTTCTTGCCTGCTAATCCTTCCAAATTAGCTAATTTAAAGATAAAGTATATGATATAATTTCAAATTGCTAAAAATTAATTGTGTATTCTGACTTTTACTTCATTTAGTTTTCATTAAATGCAACCAGTTAATCCCTAGATGACTGAAAATGAATTATCCTTTTTCTGGCTGAAAGCTGCTTAAAGCAATGCTCAGTTTTTCAGTGTTCAACAAAGGCTATAAATTTGCCATAGACGTTTGCAGTTCTTGATTTAATTAGAAATCTCAGTGCTGTGCTCTGTATTCATTTATATTGGCACAAAACATCTGGACTTTCTTCATTAAAGTCAAGGGAACTTCTTAGTGAATAAAGTGGAATTGTTATGCACAAATTAAAACTGCAAACTTCAGAACACTTAAGTGGAAGATTTGCAATTATAAAGGCAGTCTGTTTTGTGCGCTAGCTAACATGGCCAATGCACATTAGTTAGCATCCTAAAAGTCTCGAGGAACAAATACTATAGAAGAAGTTGGTTATTATAGAAATTACAGTACACAGGAGTTCTCCACTGTATTCAGTTTTGAAGGAGAAGCAATACTATACATAGAAAAATCAAAGACCTCTTCAGCCCAGTGTTTGCTTTCCACAGGAGTCAGCCGGGCACTCACTGAAAAAAATCACAAAACATGAATGCACAGTAGCTCACATAGCATGCTAAAGCATGGGATTACGCCTATATAGCATTAAAACCCAAGCCACTGATTAACCTATACTTTGAGAAGCATGTTAACCACAAGTCAGAATCACAATCTGTATTAGGTTACTTATTTCATAGAATCTTATCTTCAGTCAGTAGGTCAGATTAAACCAGATGGAGGAAAGGTTAATCTATGTTTAACACCCCATTCAAGTCTCTGGGAAGAAGAACGAGAAGCCAAAAAAAAAAAAAAAAAAGTTATTTCAGCCATAATGTTTCTGCTAATTTTCTGTTTTCCCCATCCTCTTCTAGAGAAGCTCTGTCTGTCTCTGTGTGTGTGAGAGAGAGGGGGGGGGGGAGAGGGAGAGATGGAAAACAATGAAGATAGCAGAGTCTCCAATCCATTATCCACTGTAGTTCTGACTTAGATTAAGATATTAAAAAAAAATAAATAAGGGAAGAGAGAGGGAACAGGAATTGGCAGCTGACAAGCAATTCACAAAGGTAGTATAAATGGGTTAAATAGCAAACATGGTGAGGTATAAATGGGTTAAATAGCAAACATGGTGAGGTGCAGCTCAATCTATTGCCTCCTGCAGAACTGCCAGTTTTTAAAAACGGGCAGAAGTATAACCCTGTTATACTTTAAGCCAAGTTTTTCAAAATTGGCAAGCTTAAAATGGACGATTCCAACTTCCAGAATTCTCCAGCCTCATGACCACAATTGAAGTCTATGTATCTTAAAGTTGTCAGGTTGAGAAACAGTGCTTTAGGCAAATCTTTACTTTTCCTCCAGCCCTTGGGATGAGGTGAAGTTTTCCTTGAATATGTTGCACAATTGGGTTTAGTTCTTTTTCGGTTTCCATTATTTTTATGCTGATTTGGTCTTTTTTATTTCATAGAATCATAGGGCTGGAAGGGATATTGGAGGTCTTCTATCTAGTCCAACCCTGTGCCCAAGACAGGAGACTTTATTCCATCCCGGACAAATGGCTGTCCGATTTTTTTCTTGAAAATGTCCAGTGATGGAGCACCCACAACTCTGAGAGACCAACTGTTCCACTAACTAATTGTTCTGTTAGGAAGTTTCTCCTTATCCAGTGTTGACCTATCTTTAACGATTTTCAATCCACTGCTTTCGTCCTTTCCTCAGCTGCTATGGAGAATAGGTCTCATTCTCTTCCTGTGACACTCCCTCAAGTATTGGAAGACAGTTATCATGTCTCCACTAATCCTTCTCTTTATTAGGCTAGACCAGTGATGGCAAACCTTTTAGAGACCGAGTGCCCAAACTGCAACCCAAAACCCACTTATGTATCATCGGGTGCCGGGTGTGTGTGGCCCATTGGGTGGGTGTGGCCCATTTGGTGGGCGTGGCTGCGGGGGTAATGGCAGACTGCGTGAGACGAAAAAGTTCAATCAATCAATTCCAACTTTGCGAGATCTTTTTTTTTCCTGCAAGAAGTTGAAATTGATTGATTGAACCTTTTTTTTTTTTTTTGCACATGGCGGCAGAGGCCTAAAGCAAAAAGGTTTTATAAAACCCAGCTGAAGGCCTAGGACTGGGGCAAGGGCACGCGTGCTCACAGAGGGGGCTCTGCGTGTCACCTGTGGCACGCGTGCCATAAGTTCGTCACCACGGGGCTAGACCATTCATTACACCGTTTAGCCTCGTCTAGACCTTATTTTCTTTTAAACTGTGTTTTATATTGCAAGTTGCCCAGTAACTTAAGCTGGGCTGTTGTATAAATTTGGTTAATTAAGTCTGTAAATCACACCACTTTGCCATTCTGAAGAATAGAAGCTGATTTGGGAAACATATTTTAGAAAACCAGACATTTCAGATTTGTGGAAAGAAAAGTAGATACTACTTTTGATATTGCTCCAAGTTCATCTCCAACAGGTTCCTTTCTGACCCCAGAAAAAGATGCAGCTGCATGAGATGGTAAATGTGCACCCCCAAAAGTGTTTGAAGAAATGAAATTAAACCAATAGAGTTCGGATAGATATATCTGGGACCAGTGTTATGTCTTGTCATCAGCAAGTCTAGAATTCTCATCACTTTTCTTGTTGCAAATAACTGTCCAGGTAGGAACTGTTAGTTATTAAAGATACAATCTACTTATCATTTTCATGTCTGATCACCATATATGACAGCTGATTTGTATTTGTATTGGCTGCAGCATCCCAGGGTCACGTGATCACCTTTTGCTATCTTCTGACAAGCAAAGTCAATGGGGAAGCCATATTCACTTAACAACCATTTTACTAACTTAACAACTGCATGATTCACTTAACCACTGTGGCAAGAAAGGTCATAAAATGGGGCAAAACTCAATTAACAATTGTTTCGCTTAGCAACAGAAATGTCAGGATCAGTCGTGGTTGTAAGAACTACCTGTACTGCACACGTCCTTTGATACAAGGCAATTTGCAGTTAAGAGTATCAAGGATTGTAAAAATCCAAAAATACAGGACAGAAAAAAGAAATACAGCCATCTATGGTGCCCCTCATACCATTAGAACCTCAAATTATGTGGAATGGGCATATTTTGAGATTTTAGCTTAAAGGCCAGGCAGCTATAGACCAGTGATTCTCAACCTTTTTAATGCCGCGACCCCCCAACCAGTCATAAGTTGAGGACTGCTCAACTGGTCATAAGTCGAGGACTACTCGGTGCAGCACCGTTTGCAGAATGGGACTTTTGGCGGGCTCAGCAGAGCAGAGACAGCCTAGACAATTCCTATTGGCTTTTAAAAGCCAATAGAATTAGACTCTATATAATAAAGAAAGACAATAAAATAAAAGGGAATAGCACAGCTAAGGAAAAGGGGGAAAAAATGGCGGACTGCGTTGTTTGGTGACCCCCGTGAAATGGTTGTTTGACCCCAAACGGGGTCCCGACCCACAGGTTGAGAACCACTGCTATAGACACTGTACCACAAATAGGAGAATGAACCTAAGATGTCTCAACAACTAAGAATGCCCATATTCAGGGGTCCCATTCATCACACTCGCCCAGGGCAGGGGGTTCCTTTTTGAACCCTCTTTATTAGAACATGTGGGTAGGTCGACTCGAGCTCCTGTCAGTACCCAGCAGGAAACAAGCTATGCGAGACCCCATGGATGATTTTTCAGACATATTTGAACCCAGCCCCTCTTCTTCCCTCCCTTCTCCACTGCTTCGTTTGGCCATGTAGTACTGAAGAATCGCCGATAAACTCTTCCAGTGCAAATGATGCATGGATGAACACTGACTCTGGGGGAGTAGATGATGGCAGCTTTAGATCTTATAGCCAGACCGCGCAGCAACATAAATTCCAATTCCCAAATTACCAATCACCAAAGAGTAAAGCTAGACGAGGAGGGAGGGAGCGGCGGGTGCCGCGGGGGTCGAGTATAAGGGCCTGTTATCAGAAAGAGTTTCCTGTGGCGGAGGAGGCTTCTCTTATTTCACTTCCTCTCCGGGAGCTCCGCGCTCCCCAAACTCTCTCAACCTTGCAGAGATGCCATGGGGAGGAGGAGGGGGAGGGGGGCGTGGCAAGGCCGAGCCTGCCGCGCGAGAAGAGGGGGCTGGGAGCTTTAACCATTCGGCCCCGCCCTGGGAGGTCTTATTATCTTAAATTATGATATTCCATCTCCCCCCTCCCCGGAGTGACGCGCGCGCTTCCCAATTTCCACGCAGAGCGGTTACGTGCCTTTCAGCTTGTGGCAAATGTCTTTTTCTTACGGGTTTTTGTGGGAGGTCCCGCCCCGCCCCGCCCCATCCTTCCTCGGAGGAGGGGGGGAGAGAGAGGGAAGGAGAAGGGGGCGCGTCTTCTCGTCCGAAGGACTTTTGCCTCCCTTACAGATAAAGCGACCCGCTTTGAAACGGAGCGGCGTTTGTCGCGCGCTGTTTCCCACGGAGCTCTGACGGCAAAAGTGAAGTTCGCCTCTCCCCGAGCGGGAGCTTTGGCGTAGCGTCGGCGCCATGCTATGGAGAACCGCGGCTCCGCAGTCCTGAGTTTGGGGCAACTTTTTGCTCCCTTTGGGGAGCATCAGCCCGACGAACAACCTGCATTAGCCCCGGCATGGCGAGAAGACGCCGAGGAGGACGCGGCAGCGGCGGAGAACCCCGCAGAGCAGCGACAGCAGCAGCGGGACTGCGCGGTCGCAGCCGCCCGGGAGAAGGACGAGGAGGCGCTGCTGGAGTTGCGCCGTCGCCGCGGACGCTCCTTCTCGCTGCCTGACAGCCCGTCTTTGGCAGCGGCGCGGTTCTTCCAGAGAAGGCAAATCCCGGGCGACAGCGACGGGAGCGAGGATGACGAGGCGGCGTCGCCGACGGGGGGCATCCGCGGCTGCTGCACCAAGTGCAAGAAGCGGGTGCAGTTCGCCGATTCCCTGGGCTTGTGCTTGGCCAGCGTCAAGCATTACAGCGCTGCCGAGGAGCCGCAGGTGCCTCACGCCGTGCTCTCCCGCTTGCAGAGCTTCCCCATGCGGCAGAGGGACTTCGAGGACTTCACCGCCGCCCTGGCCGAGTTGGGGGGTTGCGCGTCGTCGTCGTCGTCTTTCCCTCGGCCGCCGCCTCAAGTCCCGCTCCGGCTCACGCCCCCGTTGGAGGGGGCGGACGAGCAAGTCAGCGGCGAGCGGCTGCGGCGGGACTGCGTCTGCCTGGAGGAGGTGGTGGGGACTGCATTGGCCGGGGCGCCCACGGACGTGCGTGGCGTGGTGAGAGTGCTGAGTTGCCCCGGCTCCAAGGAGGTGACGGTACGCTACACCTTTAACGAGTGGCTTTCTTTCCTGGACGTCCCCGCTCTGCCGCTCCCGGATGGGGACCCTTCGGGTGGCTCCGCTCCGATCGAGCGTTACCAGTTCTCGCTCTGCCTTCCACCTGGTTTGCCAGACGGGACGGCCGTGCATTTCGCTATCTGCTATCGAAGCCAGCAAGGGGAGCATTGGGACAACAACGGCGGGACCAACTATACCCTCCGCGATTGCAGCACCGAGAAATCTGCAACTCCCCTGTGATGAGATTCGGAGCCACTGCGACTTGGGTGCCAACTGGCTCTTGAGAGAGCCTGAAATTGTTCCAGAAACCAGCCTAATTTGCCTTGCATTACCGTCTTCCGGAATCCTGCAACGCAACATCCTAAGGGCTGAACCCTATCCACGACTCGCCTTTGCCCCTTTCTTCCTTCTAGCGGCTCAAACTATCGAGATCGCCAGCCCGCCCGCCCGCCAGCCCCTCGCACTTTAGCCATCGTGCCCACGCCAGCTTGGTAAGCCTTGCGGGCTTCAAGTTTTGGATCGAAGAGGCAGCCGAATGGGAGAATCGTGGTCGGGCTTAGGAAAAGAGAAGTGTGCGTCTTAGAAAAGTAGAGTTTATTGTTACAAGAATCCTGAATATTTCTGGCACTTTCAGCCAGGAAAAAAAGAATGCTTTGAGACTCATTGGACAACAGTTCTGGCAAAGTCTCCTTTGCAGCATGGGTATCTGAGTGGGGATATATCCACTTTTGGGTATGAAAAAGAGAATGAACTACAGTAGGACTGGAACTTTGTCCCCTTTAAAGTCATGCGTGATTTGGGCTGCTCTTTCCTGGTTTTGGCAGTGACTTCTGAAAAACCTGAAAGAATGCTGCCCGAATTCAGAATACTTCTCTGGAAATTGGATAACTAGAGTGATGAAGAATATATATTTTTTAATTTGATTGAATGGGGTTTCCCCCTTGCCTATTGTGCCTTAGAACAAAGCTTCTTTATAATTGCAGCTATGAAATTATAATGTTACATTTGCAATGTATCATTCCATAAGGAATGACTACTGTCATTTTTATTGTAAATGATAGGTATGTTGGAACCTACTTACTTTCAAGATTATTTACATTTCTTAGCAGAAATTGATCAGGGTCTTGAAGAAATGATGTTTAGTTTGCATTGCAAATTTTAGTGTCTGCTCCATGATTCAGGAATCACATATTTTAAAAACAATATATATTCTATTTGAAAATATGTATAATCTGTGAAGTAAGTACTTATGTGAGAACTCAGATCTGGATGATTATTAGTAACTTCACTTTTGTATATGCCTAGAACCGTGGTGGCGAACCTATGGCACGCAGAGCCCTCTGTGGGCACGTGCACCGTCGCCCCAGTCCTAGGCCTTCAGCTGGGTTTTATAAAACCTTTTTGCTTTAGGCCTCCGCCACCATGTGCAAAAAAAAAAAAAAAGGTTCAATCAATCAATTTCAACTTCTCGCGGGGGAAAAAAAAGATCTCGCAAATTTGAATTGATTGATTGAACTTTTTAGTCCCACCCAGTCTGCCGTTACCAGAGCAGCCATGCCCACAGATTGGCGACACCCACCCAATGGGCCACACCTACCTGGCACCCGATGATACATAAGTGGGTTTTGGGTTGCAGTTTGGGCACTCGGTCTCTAAAAGGGTCACCATCACTGGCCTAGAGGGTGACCAAAGGAAAAGAGATACAGTTGAAGTTTTCTATCTAAATCAGCATTTCTCAACCTTGACAATTTTAAGGCATGTGGACTTCAACTCCCAGAATTCCACAGCCAGCATTGCTGGCTGTGGAATCCTGGGAGTTGAAGTCCACATGCCTTAAAATTGTCAAGGTTGAGAAACACTGATCTAAACGCAACTTACATTTTCTTCCCCATTGAAATGTCCTCTTTTACATAATTATTGCAAGTAAACAATATCTTCCCTCTTGGGTCTTTGGCTATTATATCAGCTAGCCATGAGTAGCAAGGAGTGCAGGTACAACCGATAGGATTTTCTGATTTGACTGCTTCAATTTTTAAAAAAGCAGATTCTGTATCTCCAAACCATCTCATGTTGGAACTTGAAATGTTCTCTGACAGTAATTGATGGAGTGCACAACATTTATTTCCCATAATATGTTTCACCTCATGGCTTTTCTGCCACAAATGGTTTTTTAAATTAGCTGTAACTTTAGAATAATTCAACCTCCGTAGGCAGCTAGCATGAAGTGCAATAATTCTGCTGAATTTCAATTTTGAAGGATCAGTTCAGTAAACTATTGATTAGTTGAATAGTTTCTTCCAGATCTCCTCAGCTAAGTGATCTAAACACTGTTTAGCCATCAGGTTGAATTAAAATGTCCTTAATATCATTTCCTTCATATGTAACCGCACAAAGTTGGTTAGATGATGGTTGGCTATATAAACATTTTAAATAAAATAATAAATGCCTCGGATTTCAATTTATAGAATCCCTAGACACTATTATTTAGAGCAGCGGTAGGCAACCTTGGCTCTTTTATGACTCGTGGACTTCAACTCCCAGAATTCCTCAGCCAGCATAACTGGCTCAGGAATTCTGGGAATTGAAGTCCACAAGTCATAAAAGAGCCAAGGTTGCCTACCCCTGATTTAGAGACTAGGAATTCAGAATGTTGAAAAATCTAATGCATATGAACAGTCCCAGTTAGAAAGATTAGGGTGTGCTTCGAAAAATACTTTTCTAAACTTGGAATGTTGGGATCTTTTTTAGTAAGCCATTCTCAGCTTCTTTTAGAAAAAAATGCAGACCCTGGAACTCTTAAGACTTTTTTTTCCCACGAGAACTTGAAATTGACTGATTGAAACTTTTTTTTTTTTTTTTGCACACGGCGATGGAGGCCTAAAGTGAAAAGGTTTTATAAAACCCAGCTGAAGGCCTAGCACTGGGGCGATGGCGCACGTGCCCACAGAGAGAGCTCTGAGTGCCACCTCTGGCACCCGTGCCATAGGTTCGCCACCACTGTCTTAAGAGACAGTGTGCTTTGGTAGTATGAAGTAACTGATTTTATCTTGGAGTGTTTGGGAAAGAAATATTGTATAATTAAATGCCACATTTATTTAATAGTGAGGGTGAAGGGAGCTATAAGAGAAGATAAATATTGTAAGCTATGTTTATTCATGTTTTGCAGGTGTAGTGTCCTGTGATTGATCTTTTATTAGGAAGATCCGATTGGTTTTTTTTTAAGGAGATGGGAATACTTAAAAGTTTTTAAGAAAATGTTTGCCAGGTGTTTAAGGTGTAAACACTAGGTTCCTTGGCCAGGCAGGGCTTTCAAACAGGTATATTGCATGTTTGCAAATTGGTGGGGTCCTTTCATAGAGTTGTATTCCTGTAAATGAGATAAGACAAGCATTTATTTTTGTTTTGTACAGCAGTCCTAACTTTTCTGGCTGCTTACTGATTAACATATATTTAGAATGTAATCATTATGAACAATATGCTTTTCTTTTTTAAAGTTGTGTATTGTTTTAAAATTTTATGCTGCTCCTAATAATTGCTTTGTTTAAAGCATAGACTGACAAAAGTATATATTAATCATGGATTCAGCCGATGACTAGGGACGGAGATTAGCTTATAATTGAAATTTAAATGCTACACGGCCAGTATGGAAAGAGGCACACTGACTTTGTAGCATTTTAATTTTTTCTAAAAAAATGATTCTTGCTGCTGAAAATAGTACATTTATTTGTTCAGTATTCAAGAAAAAAGTAAAGTCATTTTAAAAAGATGCTGTATTATAAATGCACAAACTCCTGTAGAGTTTATTATTTCTTCTTAGTATTATTTCCAAAATGTTTTAAATAAGTGTTGCAACTGAAAAAGTTGAAAAACTGAAAAAAAATATTCCTTTTGGAATAGAAAATACTTGATGTAGTGCCACAAGTCAGCAGTGAGTCATAATTCATTTCCAACATAAACTTTGCTGCTGCTACTGCCTTAAGTGGTAAGATCCTATTATTTCAGGAAAAGAAGGCAGTTTATAACTTCTCTGAAATAATTATACATATGATGGGGTAGATAGGTTATGTGATGGGATAAACCCTCTTAAGGTTTTAAATAAGTTTAAACAATGTGATATCTAAACAAGATCGTTCATAGCAGGAATCAGAAAAAAATTGACAAAACATTGTGTGCCTTTTTTTTTTTTTTTTTAGCAAAAGCCAGCAAAAACTAGTATTACCGTAATATAGAAAACATGTCTTCTTGGTGTAGCCTTGATAAAAAAAAAATACTCAGAGGATGCTAACAAATCTTCTTGAGATCTTTGAGTTTTTGTGCAATATGTTAAATCTATGAGCAGTGTATAAATTATTCTGTTCTATCAGAGCAATATCAAACATGCTTCTAATGCCTTTATGGAAGCAAAAGGAGGAAAGGGTTACCACTGAACAGGGTAAGATTTCTTTCAATATGCACTGGAAATACACTAAGCAAATACTGTCAACTTTTTAGAAAATGCTTTTCAATATGAATAAATTATATTCCTGTCTGCCACACATGAGAATTCTTGTCTTTGGTGTAATGCTTTGTGGGGTGTATGTTTGTGTGTTTTGTTCTTAACCAAGCCTTTGCAAAACTATTGCAAAGGAGAGGCAGGAGATTTCAGAAAATCTTGATGTTATATGGAATTGGCAAGATTGTATTGTTTCTTAAAGCCCATATGGATTATACAGCAGTAAAGGCTGTGTTTCCTTGTTATTTGTTGTGTTTAAAATATCAGAACATTGATGTTATGTGAAAGACAGATTAATTCTCGACAGGTTTTGAAGTTGAGACAGAGCAAGCATAAACTAACAGAAGTTGAAACTTTTCAGCATGTAGCCAGCATTGCTTGTTCTGTGAAGCTAAGTTGGCTAGTACTTGGATGAAGATTCTGGAAGTCCCAGGAGGATGGGAAGGCTAAAAACATCCTAACGAAGGCAGTGGCAAACCATTCCATATTGTTGCCAAGAAAATTGTGTGTGAAGACTTCAAAAATGAGCTCAGTTCAAAGCCTTGACTTACTTTATCACCACTGCCCTCTCTCGTTTTCTGTTCGGTATTCATAAAGAAGTGAACTTTGAAATATTCATTCATATTGTATATCTAATACTTTTGTCAGCTGCAGCACTAGATTGTTCTTCAGGCATACTTCAACTTGCTTTGAATTCTGTGAGCACAAGATCTAGAAACTGTTGTATAGACTAAAAATTGGATGTAATTTAACTTGGTAGAATTAAAATTATTATGCTCTTTGGAAATCTTCAGAAAGTCGAGGAATGCTTTTAAGAACCGTGTTTATCAACTGCTACCCCTATTGGGTGGGGAATTCTGGGAGTTGGAATCCACACATCTTAAAGTTACTGAAGTTAAGAAACCATGCCCTACCTTACATTTGTAAAAATATTCTCCCTTTTTCTAGTGCAGTGGTTCTCAACCTGTGGGTCGGGACCCCATTTGGGGTCGAACGACCATTTCACGGGGGTCGCCAAACAAGTCTGTCCGCCATTTTTTCCCCCTTTTCTTTGGCCACGCCCCTGGCACCCGGTGATGTATAAGTGGTTGGGGGTCACCACAACATGGGGAACTGTATTATGGGGTCGCGGCATTAGAAAGGTTGAGAACCACTGTTCTAGTGGAAGTCTCTGCTACATCTGGGCCAATTCTGTTTTGTGGTTAGAGGGCCAACCCAGAAAGTGCTGCTAAATAAAAGTAGCATTGCACTGGTGGGACTAAGTCAGGAGTTCTCAACCCCTGGGTCACTAAGTGGAGTGATTTTTGTTTTTGTTTTAAATGCCAAAAATCCTAGCCACCTCATACATTTGTAAGAGTATTCTGGAATATGTTTTGAAGGGAAGATAAAATATATTTGATTTTTCCCAATGTTCTTCCTACCACTGATGTGCTGAGATAATTCACTTCCAGTTGGGTCTCTCTTGAAATTTGTTTATATTCCTGAATTTAACCTTCTTTCTCCAACTCGTCTGTGGGAAAATTTGCACTGTAACTGATAATCCTCCCCCCAGATATACTTTGCTGCTAGTCCTCTTTCACATGAGAATACAAGGAATATGTGTAGCTATTTTAGTATTCTTGATGGTTACCTCCTGAGAGTCAGTTGATGGTGATCTAAAAGTCAAATGAAGAAATAAATGTTATCCCAATTTGGATTGGGGTGCTAGAAAAGGGGAATTAAAATGCCATAT